TAGAAATTCATGCAAAAATGTGTAAGTATATTTAAGAAATTGCTAAACCTTGTTAAACCTGATACTGATAAATATCATTTGTAATATGGTGATTGAGTATATTTCAAGCTAAAACAAGACTAACCAAAACCAAAAATATCATGAAATATTGGCTCTTCAGCTCTGTAAATGTACCTGAACGTCCCCTTATTGTCAATAATAAATTTTGAATAAAACAAATGACTATACAATACATACAAGAAATGGAAATATGTCATTGTCAAATGTGTTTAGAAATAAATAAAATTCAGGCTAAAATTTTAATATAAAAAATCTGGTCATAATAGAACAATTTGTTGGGAAAAGAGCCCTCAGGGTCTACAGAATATGAACCTACAGCAGCTGGTTAGAGGGCTTGAGAGTTTTCACTGTCCAAGGAATCTAAAAGGAAATTAAATAAACAGAGGAAGCAATTCCAGATTTCTGCTTGTAAGCTGGAAAGAAATCCTTTGTAGCATAAGCATACCTTAAAAAGTATAAAACTGTATAACACAGATATTCTATTCTAACAGTAGGAGAAACAAAAGGCCAAGAATAAATATGAATAATATCAAATAAATAGATTTGAAGTAAATTTTCTGTGAGGAAATCTCAAAATGTTTGAATAGTAACACATTTAAATGAATCTTTAAGAAAATATATACAGTAAAAATATCTTGAACACACCTCAGAGAAGCTGGACTGATAAGCTGAAACAAGATAAACTATAAGTGATAAATATTCATTGCCAGTTTAATAAGTAATACACAGGTAAACTTCAATGCATGTGTTGTCTTAACAAAGACCATCATTTTTTTTAGGGACTTTTCTGCCAGAAGCATGTCTGGAGACAGGAAGGAAGGTGAAGAAAGAATAGTAGATCCAAAACAACCTTTATTGAAAGATGACTTGTTTTTCAATAATGTTTATAAGATTATATATTAAACTGACACCAATTATGGCTGAATTGTAGATTTATTAGAAGCAGCAGTATGAAATATGTGATGTAAATATGAATAGCCAGTTCGTGTGACACAAAGAAGTGATCAAACATTGGCATGCATTATATGTTTTCTTCTCCACTGACCAACTGTATAGGAATCACTCTCGGATTTACTTCTCTTGAGCTTAGAAAATGGCCAGGACCCTGGAGTTCCTCCTCTAAAGTCTTCTTCACTGTTTCATGCAGATTGGGCAAGAGACAATAATCAAGGATGAAAAACCAAACCACACTGACAACCTTCATCTTGCTAGGACTGACTGATGACACGAGACTGAAAATTTTGCTTTTGATCTTTCTATTTCTTTCCTACATGTTGAGTGTATCTGGAAACCTAACCATCATCACCCTCACTCTGATTGATTCCCACCTTAAAACACCTATGTATCTTTTCCTTCAAAACTTCTCTTTCTTAGAAATTTTCTTCACAACTGCCTGTGTTCCCAGATTCTTGTTTAGCATATTATCTGGGGACAAGTCCATTACCTATAATGCTTGTGCCAGTCAACTCTTTTTTACAGACCTCTTCGCAGTAACAGAATTTTTTCTCCTGGCCACCATGTCCTATGACCGTTATGTGGCCATCTGCAAACCTCTGCATTACACGACCATCATGAGCAGCAGAGTCTGCAAGAACTTCATCCTCTTCTGTTGGGTAGCAGCACTGATCATCATTCTCCCACCAATCAGTCTGGGTTTGGGCCTGGAATTCTGTGATTCGAATGTCATTGATCATTTTTGCTGTGATGCATCTCCTATCCTGAAGATCTCTTGCTCTGACACATGGTTGATAGAACAGATGGTTATAGTGTGTGCTGTGTTAACATTCATCATCACTCTCATGTGCGTAGTTCTTTCCTACACTTATATCATCAGGACTATTCTAAGGTTTCCCTCTGCCCAGCAAAGGAAAAAAGCCTTTTCCACGTGTTCTTCCCACATGGTCGTAGTTTCCATTACTTATGGTGGTTGCATCTTCATTTATGTCAAACCTTCAGCAAAGGATGAGGTGGCTGTTAATAAGGGGATTTCACTCCTTATTACTTCTATTTCACCCATGTTGAATCCCTTTATTTACACACTGAGAAACAAGCAAGTGAAGCAAGCTTTTCATGACTCAATTAAAAAAATTGCATTCCTCTCAAAGACGTAGGGAAAAAAGAGTCTATGAAACCAATTAAAAGGAAGAAAAAACAGGCAGAAAACCTGAAGTTTCTGATAATATTTTTGTCTACGTGATTTATTCTCCAGTCTTATGGACATTTGCCCTTTGTGTTTAAACGTGTTTACTATGAGCCTTGACTGTTCCATTTTTTACACTCTATCAAAACTAAATTCTAAGATGTTTACTTTTACTCACTAGCAGAAACTGCTTTGTGAAACATGTTGGTTGGTATTCCCAGAAACCCAATAGACTACATTTTTCTGCCACATTTCTACACTGTGAGGTGTGGCTCTGTAGACTATGTTATAGCTAATAGTATGGGTGTGAAAGGGATGTGCATTATTTCTAGACCTGCCCAATAAAAATGTACAATACATGATCCACCATTCTTTTTCCTAAACTACCAGCCAGATGTCCACGTTTAAATATGACTTTGTAAGCTTCATGTTGATGATGAATTAACTTGA